TCGCAAATTCGAAAAATAAACTGAATTTAATTAAACCAATACTAAAACCAAGTGTTTTTTCGGTGTAGAAGGCAATAGATACAAATTGTGACTTCAAACCGTCCTAGTCCATACTAATTGTTATTAGATCGAGTAAGTACCAATGGTAATGTTGTAGCCAAGTACATTATGAAGGACATCTTCATTTGTTCCTAACCGTAGAATTGTTTTCGTACGGAGATAGGAGCCTTCTCCGAAGCCTCACCCATGTATAACCTATTTAACGCATATTTAAGCTTGAAATTTGTATACTTTGAAGCAGCGTTAAAGGATTCTGACTCCTGCTAAATCCTGTTTTTATCCTATTGTTACGTGGAATCAAACGTTAAACATCTATGAAGGAATCCATTGAATTCTCCTCGAAAAACTGTCTTGGCACACTATGCCTACAGTATTTTCTGAAATTTCATGACAAAATTCACTTGCTCTAAGTATCGAATTCTTTGGGGTATGATGACTTTTGAGACCCACTGTACATGCCAGCATAATTTCCTTCGTTGCAAAATGTAAAGTGACATTTGCCCAATCAAATGTATGCTTCATTATATTTGGTTAAAATGCATTTCGCCGAAAACACCTACGAATTCCGATCACAATACAGTCACACAGGTGGGGATGCCCTAAAAAACGGCCGTCGTGCCAAGGCTGGGGCAGGTAGCACGCCAGCCTTGGCTCCGTCCACATGCACCTTTGGGCCTTGGGTGTCTTTGAGCCGACACAATCCACCGTTGAGGGTATACCACACAAACAGTTTGCATCCCGGTGTCTTTTTACATTCAGCGCAGCAGGATTCAGCAGTCGCCAGATTGACCGAAGTCAAGTCGCCGCCAATATAATTCGTGTTGACTTCCAAGGTGCCACACGTACTTAGGTCATTGAACGGGTTCAGGACTTGGGTGGACTTGGATGGCGGGGGGAGAGTCAGGCCGGGGAAGTCAGCAGCCACGGCGTTGAAGATGTTCAAGCGGCCGTAGCCAAAGAGATTGTTGGGATATTTTGTGTTGGCAATGCCACCGCAGGTCTTGTCGGGTGGAGTTAACGTGTCCGTGTCCGCATTCTCGGTCAGGGTCTTGTACACTTGGTCGTATGAGGCGCCTTTGTTGGCAGACAAGTACAAGGCGATGGCTCCAGCAACATGAGGCGCGGACATGCTCGTGCCAGATTTCAACGAAAAACTATCGTCTTTGAATTTTTCTGCGGAACGGATCCTGACACCAGGAGCAGAAATGTCGGGTTTTCTATGCTTCCCGAAAGGTCCCAAACTTGAATCGATCGCCAAAGAATCGTTGTCGTCCGTATTGCCGACAGCAATCACGTGAGGGGACCCGGCAGGGTAATCTGAATACGCACAGCCTTCAAGGCCGTCATTGCCGTTCGGAAACACGGGAATGATTCCTGCGTCTCTCCAGCGTACAATCATCTCTTCCAACCAAAGTTTCTTGCCGTGCTTTCCAGTGCTCATGTTGATCACATGAGGGGCCTTGCTGGGGTCGCATTTTTTGCCGTCGTTGTTGTGGGGACAAAGCAGGAATTGAGCGCATTGCTTCACCATTCTTGGATTGCACAACTTCTCACCGCACCCTTTGCACGCAATCCACTTGGCATTGGGGGCGACACCAATACCTTTCGTTCCCACCATGACGCCCAAGACGTGGGTGCCGTGGCCCACCGTGTCGCTGGGCAGTTTCGTCTTGTTGTAAGGGTCGAACCAACCGTATTCACTTCGCCAGTTCGACTTCAACGACTCGTGGGTATGGCGAACACCGGAGTCGATGATGGCCACGACAATGCCGTCGCCCTTGATGCCTTGGGCCCACAGTGCCGGTGCTTGGATCTTCTTGACCCCCCATTCGATGGCCTCATTGACAGGACTGGCTGGTTTGTCATCGCTTTTGGTTTGACTGAGTTCCATCACAACTGGCTCGTAAATGGATTTCACTTCCGGTAAAGCCGCGATCTTCTGGACGAGGTCGTCGGTGGCGTTGTCGATGTACATGGAACAGTCGATCCATGTCGTGCCCACTTCCACAGCCGTCGATTCAATTTGGTTGGCCAGGAGCGACTTGACCGACGCCTGAGACGTAGTAGTGTGCTCCTTCAACGAATCAACCAGCGACTCGATGGTTTCGGTGCGAGACGCGCCAACCTTGAGTCGGCGGCGGTGGGTGGCGAGGGCATCGTCACAGTGAAATTTCACCACGACGTTCGACTGCTTGGCGACTTCCAAGTTGCGATGCACTTGGACCGAGATCTTGGACGTGACGGCGGTGGCGGCGAGGGCGGCAAGGGCAATAAATTGGTACTGAACCATGATGTTGTTGGTCAATGGAAATTGCAAAATGAGACTAGTGACTCTCGAGCTGGGTGTGACTTGCCTTGCGCAACACGCTGGGAAATATGTATCATGTCAGCTGTTGTATGTACTATCTGTATATAATATGCATGGCAACGTGATGAAATTGTTAACCTGGAGCAAAAGCTTAGGTCAAGTAAACTTAAGCATGATCTTGTTAAAGTATGCAATTCTGCAAATGAGAGATTTTCTCATCCCTAGCTTCAAGATAGGACTAATCAAATACTTAGAATCACTATTCTTATTCCCCAATCTGCAAATGAGAGATTTTCTCATTTGCAGGGGCCAATATAAATCCAGTAAAGCGCGGTATATGAAATTGTACAGTACAATGCCATTGGCTTAAGCCTACGAATTTACTCATGTATGATTGGCTATACTAAAAATGAGAGTATCTCTCATTTGGTAAACTTCCCGTCCAACCCATCGTAGCAGGTTAAGCTTATGGAATGCTCCAAATCGTTTACAGTTAAATTATTAAAGGAATGAATATCAATAGTAAGTAAGGCGCACCAAGATTCTGATGGAATGTTCGATATATACCAAATTCACCATATGGCTTAAGAGCAGCCTTGAAGTCCAATGTGTAGGCACATAATGTTGACAAGTGGGATGGTCGCCACCACATTAACAGTAAAGCATGTACACACAGTATAGTCGCAAACATCAGGTATAGCACAGGACTAGTATTTGTTTACTCGTACACACAGTGTTTCGCAAACATCAGGTGTAAGACTACTAGTACTCCGGAGTACAGTACTACGTACTACCAGTAGTATTTGTTTATGTAAACATAGAGCTCAAAAGACCCGTTTATTGGGTGCGTGATGTAACAGTAGTACATCACTCCACAGCCAATCCACACCGGTTGACGGTCGGATGGAGCAAACTCGCGTAGAGCGCCCGCTGGCGATTGAGGTTTTGGAGCTCTTTCCAGTCGATAATTTAGAGCGGCAGGGTAGGCATACATTCTATTGTCTGTAAGATTTATATTCATGCTGCGGGCGTGGTCGAGGACATCGGGATGTCATACGTAGTTGAAGAAGTCCATTGGGACCTCAATCGCATAGAACTGTAAACGACCCAACAGATCTGTTGAGAAATCTATGTTTATGGAGCGTTTACATCATGATGTAAAATTTATTGGCAACCGGTGTGGGTCTGAAAAATGTAAATTTTGCTGATGTAGTGATGTTCTTTGGAGATTTTTACATATCTACATCAGCCGGCGGGGATACTCTAAGTAGCCTACGATGAAAATTTAGTTCCTATGCAAAGCCTGGCAAACATGAAGGATCTGACACAGAAAGACCCACGAACAGCCTGGTGTAAATGATGACAAAACACTCGAAATAATTAGGTATTTCCCAGGACCGTCCAACCACGGCCAAAATTTATCATGATCGTCCAAGTTGAACTTTTTGGAAATAATTTTATTCCAATTCGTCCAAGTAGTTTTCATTGGCTAAAAATATAACCAATGACCTATTTTCCATTGCCATTCCAGAATTTCCACAGCCGATACCAGACCGTGCCGCCACCAAAACGGAGGCATGGACCAACCACGAGTAAAGGTTGCAGGAGTTTCGAGGTATGCGTCCCAGCAGTCGTTATCCAAGGTTGCAGTAGTTTCAAGATCCGTGTAACTTACTATGCATTCGCTCATTATATTTCAAGTCAGTTCGTAATTCGAATTGCCAGCAGAATCGAATAGACTTGGCAAATCGATTTGAGAGTGAACTAGCCAATCAAAATCCATTCACCCCCCCCTCACAAGATTTCTGAATGGTTCAGCCAATCAATGCGTTTTCTAAACCCATCCGTTGCAGATTGAACTCACTAAACTATTGTGCATACAAGATACATGTATATTATTGATTGCCAAGCTTATTCAAAAACGGTTTCACTTTTGGACTGAACAGTCCAAATTTGCATGCGAAGGACAATAAGACGCATACTCATTGATAGAGTGGAACCACATCGCTACCCTTGCTCAGACGTCACTTGTTGTATAGGCTGGCAGCGCGGACAATAGGACAAAGCAATGAGGGTGTCATGATGTGTCGCCTCGCTGGGCGGGATAACCGTACCCGAACATCATATGTTTGGCATAAAATTATGTGGAAGCGAATCGCACGGCTTGTTCATTACGCTGGAACAAGGTCCCGAAGCTCCGCACCCCCAAGAAGTTCACCCTCCGCTGCTCTCCATTCGTAAGTAGTACCCATCGCTAAATTACTGTACCGGTATTCAGAATCCTTCACTAATGTATTGGTAGTGAATTTGTGACAATTACAAAAGAATATGCCGTTATAATTGAATTTTTACGCTTTGATGTTCCCAAATTGTTATATTGTCCATTCAGCCGAAATTTGGACTTTTGTGATCCAAAAAATTCAACTTGGTGGATCATGATAGATTTTGGCCGTGGCTGGACGATCCTGGGAAATACCCAAATAATTATCTATCAAAGTATATGTATACTTAATAAGCAAGATCATTCTTAAGTATACTTGACCATGAAGTTCAATGAGTAGGCACAGAATGTTGACTACGAAGTGGATGGTCGCCACCACATTGAAGCATGTACTATACGTATACAGACTACCCCCGGTGAGTACATACGATGCTGAATGGTTAGCTATCGCTAACCACTGAGACGCACTTAATCTCTAGTAAGAGGTGAGGTGATCTGACCATACAAAGTTCCATAGAAACACTCATTGAAATTCGGGTCAAAACAACAGTGGAACAGTTTTAATGAGGGAATTGAATGTGCGATGACAAACATGTACTAAATGCACCATATGACTTAGAGCAGCCCATTAAGTTCAATGTGGAGGCACAGAATGTTGACTACGAAGTACTATTAATAACACTGTACTAAGTACTGTAGTAGTATGAAGTGGGATGGTCGCCACCACGTTGAAGCATGAACAGTACATACAGTATTGTCGCAAACAACAGGTATAGTACAGTAGTACAATTTGTTTAGAGTTGCTTCGTAGTACTAGTACTGTACTAGTAGTACATATAATAGTATTAACCCGCTCGGATTTGCTTCCCATCCGAGCGGGTTAATAACGTTAGTAAGCTTACAATTTGTTTAGAGTTGCTACGTAGTACTAGTACTGTACTAGTAGTACATAGTAGTACAGTAGTACCTATCTATACTCACGAAGTATCCGCACTTCATTTCGAAAGCTATTCGTTCTCATGGGATTAAATTGTTACACTATTGAGCCAACCGAAATTTCATGTGCTGGGTATATTCTTAATCCAAATTTGAGTTTCATTTGCGTGAGATATACGAGTAGCAAAACAACAGTTCACACTGTCAATTGTCTCGCGAACTGATAGATGTTGCTTTCCACTATATTTCTACTTCTTACTACCTCTGTTTTCGAACTATTGCGAGCGGAAATTCAACCACATTGTAAAATCAAGTGTACAGAATCTAAATTTAATTAATTTCATCGTCTGACCTGAGGTCTGAAATGACAGTCAGGTTGCTCAACAGAACTGCCACCTCTTCTAACCTTTCTTCTTCCTCAAGTCTCAAGTTCATCATGCCTAACACTAACTCGTCCTCTTGAGTCTCTTTGCTACGAGGAATTTTATATCTATTGTCACCATCGCATGCAATAACAACATTCATGACACGTCGTAATGTCAAAAAGGTTTTGTCCAGTGTCATGGGCGACACGAAACCCCGAAACTCAAACGAATCTTTCACAGCAAAACAATCAACTCCCCCATCGTCTGACACTCGAGGGATTGCTGAAGTGCCTGAATAGAGTTAAAGAAGCCTAGGTCGAGAACATTTAGGTCAGGCGATTGTGGTGGTTGGTTTCGCATCTGAATGTCCCAACCTCCATCTGACGCTGCACTGACAAACGCTGGGTCTTCTGGTGCAATGTGCGGACGCGCATTGTCTTGTTGCAAGAACACTGTTCCCGTTTCAACGCCGCTTGGCCAGCGCCAACTTGACTTCAACGCGGGCAGCACTTTGCGCACAATCAGGTCGCGGTAAACGTCTACAGCGAAACCCTCATCTCATCAGTCAAATTTGACTTGGTTAAAGCGAAACCCTCATCTCATCAGTCAAATTTGACTTGGTTTTTGTATTGGATTTTGTCATGGCGCTTGGACTCCAAATTTGAATATATAATTCACATAAAAATACTCGTAGATGCGTCAAAGCGCAAGGAACACGCTCCATTAATTTATCTGCCAATCCGAGATCTGGAAGTTACCCAACTGTTTCTGCTCGCAATAGTTCGAAAACAGAGGTAGTATATTTTTAGTTTGTATTATCAACGGGTGACCATAGGGGGCGTAGGATGGATGACGTGCCCAGACATCGGCGATGCATGAGGATCATCGTGGAAAGGACCCATGACCAGTCGCATGAGCTTCATACCCACGTCAAAAAGCCGTCAAGGGACCTTTCCACGACCGACACCCGATCCTCATGCACCGCGAATGTCGGACCACGCCATCGCACGGATAATCCAGAACGCCTACAGATACCACCAAGATATCGTCAATTGGTTCGTGCATTCTTGTAGCCGATCATAGTCCATGCCCCCTTCTAGAGCTCCTAGTACTACCGATTGTATTATATGACCTCGTGATGCTGCCATCACAAAGGTACTACGTAGTATAAGGTTGGATGGGTCGATTATCTTCGAATTCGGTCCTTCCCAAGAGGTCTCAGTGGTCGCTTGACCTTACAGTTAGCTAGCTTTTAGATATTTCACTTTTACATTTTGCCTAGCATTGGATCTACTCCTTGCTTGCTGTGTCCCTCTTGGTAAAGCCGAGGAAATCTGGTCCTGACGTCCGAACGAACCTCGGGACCTTCGAAAGTTTTGTGCGTCTAACCTGTACGACCGCCTCATACGCTATCCAGCACGGACAATCCTCTGAAACCTTGACGTCCCATCCAGAACTCCTTCATGGATTGTCCGTGCTGGATGGTGGGGATCATGGAACATAGTGCATGCGGACGACTTGTGGACATTGACAACCAACCATCAAAACCAACTATCACATGACACCATCCAGGCACCTTCCCATGGAAAGTGTCTGGACGTTGGCGTTTACACATATGACGGACAAGCTTGTGTCAAGAGACACGCACAGTGACAGGGAATATTGCGATATCCCGCAAAATATACTACTGTACCGTAGTTGGAGTGGCATATTATTATTTATTCTGTTTTTAAGGATATTTTCGGCCGAATAAGAGCATCTCCACCGCGCCCAGTAAATTGGCCAATCAGTAAATCTGTGTGCTGATTTACTGAAAATTTACTGAAATATTTTCGCACCGCACCATTATCCGGTTCAGTACTTTGCTGACCAGCAAATACTACGTAGTATTCCAGTAAGAGTCACACAGATTTGATGGACTTGTACTGGATTTGCTGGAGTCAGTATCCGGTTATAGTGGCCGGATATCGACATCGGTGCATAAACATGGCCTCCAGGGTCGGTGATGGCATAGGTCGAGGTGCAGTTGTGGCGGCCCTGGCACGATATGTATGCCGCAGTCAATAACTTACGCCTTGCGGTGATGACTCTTGCGGTGTAGGTCAGTTGCGGCCGATAGCGCATTCGCACGCGGTC